AATAATGTTCTTTTTAGCAGCATCATATGACCCCTTTAAAGTCTGTAAACTCCTCCCTTCCATAAGCTTACTCAGATCTGATTGGTCAGCTGGCCAAGTCAGTTGTGATTGGTCTTTCCGTATAAATTGCGTGTCGGAAACGAAACGCCCATTGCCATAATCATTTTTTTTGCTCAGGAGGGTTACTTGTAAACAAAGATGCTATAAGTTTACAAAAATGGCATCGATATTACCTTATCAATTCGAGCCCGAGTCCGAGGATGATACCGATGCAGTCGCTCAACCGGAAACTCCATCGCAAGCTCGACTTGATCAGGATGTTTCTCAGTGGTAAGTTTAAACTTTGTATGTGGTACTTTACGTGACGTGAAAGCAGTTTTATTGCATTCATTATTATTATTATCATTTACTTATTTGAGGTTCACGTGTGGGAACTGTTAGAATGCCCAGTGAGGCTAAAAACACAGCATCTTCTCGACCTGATGTAAACACACTAACTAGCGGAAGTGTTTGTGGGCAGGTCAGACTCTGTTCGTATTTCGCGGGCAGCCGGGGATTATGCAAATGTGTTACCTTGTGACATATATAGGTAACAGGCAGAAGATTCGAAAATATGACGACTCGTTAAGGCGGTTCAGAGTCGACTCTTTCTTTTGAGAGACGATATCTTTATTTATCATGCACTTTTTTTAATTAACAATTTTTTTGACCGTTTACATTGAAGGATAGCTATGTTACAAACGGCAAAAAATATATTCTTCGAAAACCCATATGAGCTGATCTTTAAGTAAGAGTATATTCTTAAGCATTAAGCAAAATACAGAACAAAACAACATTTTTATTTAAATGAACAGATGTTAATGCGTCTGTTCAGACCAACACAAACAATTGCATGCCATCAATGCAACTTTTTAAAGGAAAGGTGTTCTAATCTCTTTTCTATTGCACTGTGAAGCAAACAGGACAACAAATAAGATTCACACTTTTAGTCACATGCCCAGAGCTGCTAGTGTTACATACACCGTGGTAATGATATAATGCCTCCAAAACACTCTGTACACCTTAAAAAGGATATCAATGCCCTAGCGACCACTCAGAGAACACTAACATTGTGCCGGCGAGTTTTTCAGACAAGCACCGCTTTACACAGCAAATAATTCACATTTCTCTACAAACAAACAGAGAGAAAAAAAGGCTCTCTTCCTCACTCTCTCTTCTTCTTTCACTCTCTGACCAATCAGATGAACTCATTAGGGCATTCTGAAAATGAAATTAACTTCGAAACACTCCAGCGTACAGTAAACATGACCGTATCCATGTAAATAGAGGCAGAGAGACCATGATGAGGCCAAACTCTCTACAATAAACTTTATTCAGACTGATGATCAGAAAGAAGACATTAACATTTAAAGCCACAACACATGTTTCTACCTCAGTTTGAAATTATCCTTCATTTCATCTAGACATTTCCGCCCACAGTTGCATTTCTGAGCTCAGTATCTCACTGCAGGAATTCCCCACTATGTTCAGAGTGGGAAATACATACACAGTCTATTTTGCTCACTTCCTTAAAAATGTGTCTTGTGCATTCTGACCAAAAAGACTGTAGACTTGGTATCACAAAACCTGTTAAGAACATGTCCGAGACATACTGTATCCCAAAAAAATGCCAATCAAACAATAGGTAAAAATACACAATAGGTTCGTGGCAAAAGAGTCTGACAAAGTCTTACTCACATAATTATGGTGGTTAAAGAGAGCTTGCGACACCAGGAATAATTTCATCTTCAAACCCTTCAAATAACAGATAAAGAAGAGGAGAGCCATGAAGATGAAGAGGCTAAGTGTGTCCAGGCTAAGATTAAAGAATCACATGGCCGCTCTGAGAGGTCAAGTCCAAAAGTCTGATAATATTCCAGAGTCAGGCCTCCACCCCTTATTCAGGGAATCTTGGGAAGATTTTCCAGATGACTGTCTGCTGAAACCCTGAAGAATGTGAAAATTGCCATGTGATCTGCTCCTCCAGGCCATAACAAACTGGGTTGAGGGGGAAATCACACTCATGTGATCCTTACAGGGATTTCAGTCGACCGTGTTTTTCGGTTGACGATAAACTGAACCATAGCTCCCAGATATTCTATACACTGGCAATTGGACATGTCTTTCCAAATAAACTTATTGAACTAGCTTGACCCAACAGCAAGGCCAAAATGTAGAAATTGTTCTTAAAATTCTGTCAATAATTTTACCAATCCTCATTTCATTTAAACTATGAATTTCTTTCGCCTTTGTGACATAAAAGAAGATGATTTGAGAAAAATCTCAGTGTTTGTTCATACAATAGAAGCCGACTGTAACCAAATTGTACCTATTGTACATTGTACCAAAATGCCGTCTTTTGTGTTCTGCAGAAGAAAGAGTGTCATGCAAGTATGGAATGACACAAGGGTGAGTAAATGACAGAATTTTGATGTCTGGGTGAATTTGTCCCTTTAACATCACTATAATTGTGTGAACCTCAATGGGCTCTATTTTAGAGTCCCCCAGGGCTCTATCTTTGCACCTCTCCAGTTACATTTGTATATGCTCCTACTACAGTGTTTCCCACACATACACTTTACTTGGGTGGGCCACCCAAGTATATTTGGAGAAACATTTTTGCTTTTATTATTTTTATCCTCTTGTACTTTTTCTTTTATTCACCAGAAATAACGAAACCATCCACGATCGATTAACTAGTGGAAAATCTACCCTTGAGAACTGCTGACATTCTCACATGCCCTGCAGAGACGCGCTGGATATTTCACAGACAAAGACAGGGCTCAACAGTGTGGGCACTTCAGTTGCATTTCAACAGATGTGTGCGAACTGTAAAATGTATTTAGGAGCACGTGTGCAAATGTAATTTCTTATTTTCTTTTTTAGTTTTCTTCAATTTAATGTCATAAAAAGTCTTCAATGTATGAAATGGTAAAACAAATGTCTTAATGATTATTTTAAATAATGCAAATAATTGTAATCTCAATTATCAAGTGACAACAGTCCCATGAACTCCACTGAACAAACCATTCTATGACCTATAACTTAAATAAATAAACCTAATGGACCTCCTAGATCACATGTGTCAAACTCAGCTCCTGGAGGGCCACTGTCATGCAGAGTGTGGCTCCAACCAACTCCAACACTTACCTGAAAGTTTCTAGCACTCCTAAAAACACTGATTAGCTGGTTCAGTATCATTTAATTTTGCTTGGAGCTAGGCCTGTCGCGATAATTAGATAACCGTCTAATCGCGATTATTTGATTTAACCTAACATGATTTGGTCACAATATTTATATTTTTTTTTGCGCTACAACATGGGATTATTCAATGCATGCTGACGAACTTTTATCATAGTTTATAGTTATATGGAAACTAAAAAGGTTAACGAACCTGTTCTTTATCATCAGTAGTATTATTTGTGATTTGAATTTTGCGAATGTGAGTTTCTCTTTTGCGGTGTTAAGCCGCGGGCTTCGGATGCTTTCGCTTTCGAATTCGCGATCTTGTCACTGTTTTGCTTGCATACATCTACACACCTTTCATTTTTTTAAGACTAAAACAAAAGATGGATTCATTGTTATTCTTCATTAAAAAGCACAACAACAATAAATCAGTAAGATACAATGACAAACTAGCTTACAAAACGTTTATTAACAAAAACGAATAAGATAAGGCATGGCACACACCACATGCTGTATTATATACCGACTAATAAATTACAGAACGTTTAGCAAACACTGAGGAATCAAATAAATAAATAAAAGAGAGCCTCCATAGCGTAATGTGAGGTAAACAGCAAAGATAAGTTTTTCAAAAATGAAAACAAAAAGAAAAGTAAAACTAACGGTGACAGTGCTTGCACGCAACACGAAATGTAGTCGCACAGGCAGAAAAAATGGTCTCAGTCTGGAGCCCTGCACTATATCATCTGAAGCCATTCCATATTTTAATGTGAGGGACAGAATTGAGGTTTACAGAAACTCATCTTCCTTCTGCTGCAGCTGTCAGTCATTCTCCGCTCAGCATTCAAACAGCGCGTCACGCTCAGTTATGACAGTCAGCATAAAACTCTCTCTCCAAGATTATATATTCCCATTATAATACTTTAAGTTTAAGGAAGGAAGGAATTATCACAAACAGAAAGATTATTAGAAGCCTTTCTTTTTCTCATGATTTCTATCTTATATTCATGAATGTATTTTGCAAGAATACAAATAGTTAACAGCATAAACATGTTTAAATTGTAATGTGCACCAAAGATTTTTTTTCTCCAAGATATTGTTTTTGCTGCTAAATTATGCAGTCAGCTAGTTTAATTTCATAGCTTATATATTT